ATAAAAGCAAGTATATCTATTTATTAAAAGGTTTTCAATTTATCTACGAAATAAGGCTGCAAACATAGCACCTCGAACTACTTACTTTCCACAGCAATTATAGCCTACACACTTGTATTGAGTGGAGACCCATGTATGGATTGGACACACTTGTATGGAGTGGACACACATGTTTGGAGTGGACACACTTGTATGGAGTGGAGACACATGCATGGAGTCAACACGCATGTATGGCGTGGACACACACACACACACACACACACACACACACACACACACACACACACACACACACACACACACACACACACACACACACACACACACACACACACAGTTTTAAGGCGAGGTATGATAGAGCTCATGGGGCAGGGAGAGAGAGGACCTAGTAGCAATCAGCGAAAAGGCGGGGCCAGGAGCTGTGACTCGACCCCTGCAACCACAAATAGGTGAGTACACACACATACACACACATACACACCTGAATGGAGTAGACACTCACACGTATGAATAAAGTGGACACACACACACACATGTATGGAGTGAACACACACACACACGTGAATGGAGTGGGTACACATATATATAGTAGATATATCAGTAAAGGGTGAAAGCTTCGAGTACTCTGGTGAGTGATGTATCAAGCATGAGAGACGTCATGACTTAGTGGTAGCGGCAGGTGTCTGAGTACTGGTAAACAACCAGGAGACACGTATGGCAAGAGGCGCTAGTCGACATTCAGGCGCTAGTTGACACTGAGGCGCTAGTTGACACTGAGGCACTAGTTGACACTCAGGCGCTAGTTGACACTCAGGCGCTAGTTGACACTGAGGCACTAGCTGACACTCAGGCGCTAGTTGACACTGAGGCGCTAGTTGACACTGAGGCGCTAGTCGACACTCAGGCGTTAGTTGACACTGAGGCGCTAGTTGACACTGAGGCACTAGTTGACACTCAGGCGCTAGTTGACACTCAGGCGCTAGTTGACACTGAGGCGCTAGTTGACACTGAAGGGTTAGTTGACACTGACGTGCTAGTTGACACTGAAGGGCTAGTTGACACTGAGACGCTAGTTGACACTGAGGCGCTAGTTGACACTGAGACGCTAGTTGACACTGAGGCGCTAGTTGACACTCAGGCGCTAGTTGACACTGAAGTGTTAGTTGACACTGACGTGTTAGTTGACACTGAAGAGCTAGTTGACACTGACGCACTAGTTGACACTGAGGCGCTACTTGACACTGAGGCGCTAGTTGACACTGACGCACTAGTTGACACTGAAGCGCTAGTTGACACTGAGGCGCTAGTTGACACTGAGGCACCAGTTGACACTGAGGCGCTAGTTGACACTGAGGCGCTAGTTGACACTGAGGCGCTAGTTGACACTGAGGCGCTAGTTGACACTGAGGCGCTAGTTGACACTGAAGGGCTAGTTGACACTGACGCACTAGTTGACACTGAGGCGCTACTTGACACTGAGGCGCTAGTTGACACTGACGCACTAGTTGACACTGAGGCGCTAGTTGACACTGAAGTGTTAGTTGACACTGACGTGCTAGTTGACACTGAAGGGCTAGTTGACACTGACGCACTAGTTGACACTGAGGCGCTAGTTGACACTGAGGCGCTACCTAGGTTGACACTGAAGCGCTAGTTGACACTGAGGCGCTAGTTGACACTGAGGCGCTAGTTGACACTGAGGCCTAGTTGACATGAGGCGCTAGTTGACACTGAGGCCTAGTTGACACTGAGCGGCTAGTTGACACTGAGGCGCTAGTTGACACTGAGAAGCTAGTTGACACTGACGCACTAGTTGACACTGAGGCGCTAGCTGAACATGAGGCGCTAGTTGACACTGACGCACTAGTTGACACTGAGCGTATACACTAGTGTTGTTGACACTGACGGCTAGTTGACACTGACGCACTAGTTGACACTGACGCACTAGTTGACACTGAGGCGCTAGTTGACACTGACGCACTAGTTGACACTGAAGGGCTAGTTGACACTGAGGCGCTAGTAGACACTGTGGCGCTAGTTGACACTGACGCACTAGTTGACACTGACGCACTAGTTGACACTGAGCACTATTGACACTGACGACTAGTTGACACTGACGACTAGTTGACACTGACGCATAGTTGACACTGACGCACTAGTTACACTGACGCATAGTATGACACTGACGCACTAGTTGACACTGACGCACTAGTTGACACTGACGTACTAGTTGACACTGACGTACTAGTTGACACTGACGCACTAGTTGACACTGACGCACTAGTTGACACTGACGTACTAGTTGACACTGACGCACTAGTTGACACTGACGCACTAGTTGACACTGACGTATTAGTTGACACTGACGCACTAGTTGAGACTGACGTACTAGTTGACACTGACGCACTAGTTGACACTGACGTATTAATTGACACTGACGCACTAGTTGAGACTGACGTACTAGTTGACACTGACGCACTAGTTGACACTGACGCACTAGTTGACACTGACGCACTAGTTGACACTGACGCACTAGTTGACACTGACGTATTAGTTGACACTGACGCACTAGTTGAGACTGACGTACTAGTTGAGACTGACGTACTAGTTGACACTGACGCACTAGTTGACACTGACGTACTAGTTGACACTGACGCACTAGTTGACACTGACGCACTAGTTGACACTGACGTATTAGTTGACACTGACGCACTAGTTGAGACTGACGTACTAGTTGACACTGACGCACTAGTTGACACTGACGTATTAGTTGACACTGACGCACTAGTTGAGACTGACGTACTAGTTGACACTGACGCACTAGTTGACACTGACGCACTAGTTGACACTGACGCACTAGTTGACACTGACGCACTAGTTGACACTGACGTATTAGTTGACACTGACGCACTAGTTGAGACTGACGCACTAGTTGACACTGACGCATAGTTGACACTGACGCACTAGTTGAGACTGACGCACTAGTTGACACTGACGCACTAGTTGACACTGACGTACTAGTTGACACTGACGCACTAGTTAACACTGACGCACTAGTTGACACTGACGTATCTAGTTGACACTGACGTACTAGTTGACACTGACGTACTAGTTGACACTGACGCACTAGTTGACACTGACGCACTAGTTGACACTGACGCACTAGTTGACACTGACGTACTAGTTGACACTGACGTACTAGTTGACACTGACGCACTAGTTGAGACTGACGCACTAGTTGACACTGACGCACTAGTTGAGACTGACGCACTAGTTGACACTGACGCACTAGTTGACACTGACGGACTAGTTGACACTGACGCACTAGTTGACACTGACGTATTAGTTGACACTGACGCACTAGTTGACACTGACGCACTAGTTGACACTGACGCACTAGTTGACACTGACGCACTAGTTGACACTGACGCACTAGTTGAGACTGACGTACTAGTTACACTGACGTATTAGTTGAGACTGACGTACTAGTTGACACTGACGCACTAGTTGAGACTGACGTACTAGTTGACACTGACGCACTAGTTGACACTGACGCACTAGTTGAGACTGACGCACTAGTTGACACTGACGCACTAGTTGACACTGACGTACTAGTTGACACTGACGTATTAGTTGACACTGACGCACTAGTTGACACTGACGCACTAGTTGAGACTGACGCACTAGTTGACACTGACGCACTAGTTGAGACTGACGTACTAGTTGACACTGACGTACTAGTTGACACTGACGCACTAGTTGACACTGACGTATTAGTTGACACTGACGCACTAGTTGACACTGACGTACTAGTTGAGACTGACGTACTAGTTGACACTGATGCAGCCAGTATGGTGGTTATTACAGTGATGGTCAGTGAAAGCAGCAACCGGTGTTTTTCACCGACACATTACTTAGCTACTAACTGGCACGTGTTAAGTGTATTTAGAATCATTATTGAGAACAGCAGAATGACTTCGAAAATAGTATTGAAATTAACAATGATGTCTGATATACCATTATTGGTGCTCATTTTCTATATAGTCTTACTCTGGAACAAATTGTTGGCTCTTTTTGTGTTCGCTTCTTGTCTCCCCTTCTTGCTGTGCGAGTCTAAAAATCATAACTAATTGGATTCTTTCTGCTTCAGACCCACTGTCTATGGATGTCTGTTCATTTACAACAACCAACTTTCCTTTCTCTCATGATATTTGAATATCTCAACATTGTATCCCATTCCTGTTCCTAGTTGCCCGTTTTGCAATGTACTCTTCCCCAGTACATACTTTGCTTAGTTTCTCTCCCTCCCATCTTCTCTCATTACCTGGACTTTCCTCTCTGCTTCATTCTGAATTAGTTTTATGTGACTTCCATATCCCTGTTCATACTGCATTCTAAGTTTTTAATTAGAAGATCGAATAGCTTTCTTGTTTCCTTCCAATTCTCAACATCTCATTCAGTTGTTTATCCTGTTTTACTCACTCGTGTGTGTGGGGTGTGGTGTGTGTGTGTGGGTGTGTGTGTGTGTGTGTGTGTGTGTGTGTGTGTGTGTGTGTGTGTGTGTGTGTGTTTGTGTGTGTGTGTGTGTGTGTGTGTGTGTGTGTGTGTGTGTGTGTGTGTGTGTGTGTGTGTGTGTGTGTGTGTGTGTGTGTGTGTGTGTGTGTGTGTACAGAAGACAACAAGTGTGAGAGAGGTGGAGAAGACAAGGAGTACAGTGTGACCCTGATGAAAGGACACACCACAACGTACACAATAATGAACTGAGAAGTACGTTTGCACGTAACATAGACATGGATGAACCAGGTAACACTTGTGCACGTAACATAGACAAGGATGAACCAGGTAACACTTGTTTGTGCACGTAACATAGACATGGATGAACCAGGTAACATTTGTGCACGTAACATAGACAAGGATGAACCAGGTAACACTTGTGCACGTAGCATAGACAAGGATGAACCAGGTAACACTTGTGCACGTAACATATACTTTACACTTACTAGCTCAACCCCACAGTATTGTTCTGTCCTACAAATCTCGCACTGGGAAGATCACCCCTGAAAAATTTTGATGCAAAATTGAAAAAGCAGACAATGGAAGAATGTTGAAAAGAAGAAAATAGTGAGTGCATTCCCTGCTCCCTGTATATGTTTATCATTGCTCGGACAAGTTGTGAGAAAAATATAAGTGAACTCAGGCAGGAGGAGGAAATTTCGAGTTATAGATAAATTACACCGTGCAATAAAAAAAAAATATAAAGAATAAGAATTATTCTTTTTATTCTTTTTAGAGAGTACATTACGAGACAGATATAAGTTTCTGTATATCGCAAAGTTTGTATTTTGAGAGTGAACAAAATGTACCCGACTCTTTACAATGTATGCTTTATAATTTCACAGTTTCACGGCAGAGTGTTCAATGTAAAAAAAAAAAAAATACCGTTGGGAGAGCATAACGCTGGGCCACCAGGTGACTCAGTCAGCCCAAGTACACTAAACATAACTAATTTTATTGTTACTATTGACCTTTTGGTCTCGTCAAACAACTGGTCAGGACAGTGGTCTACCAGGACTTCAATAACTGTTAGGAAAGTCTTCCAAGCTAAGGCCAAAATTATAATTAACATGAATATGAATTTCCACAAGTTCATCAGCTTAATTACAAGTTCACCAACTTAATTACAAGTTCACCAGCTTAATTACAAGTTCACCAGCTTAAAGCTGACACGGATTTTCAGATGACAATAAATGAGAGAATTAAAAGTTTGATATTCCTTTCAGAATATATGCAGACAACTGTAGGTCACTGGTTGGTCAAATGTAAGTCACTGATTGATCAACTACTGCAAAGTTACCAACGACTGGACTGCAACATTTGACTCGGGTTGCATTTCCTCCACTCACATTTGTCTTCTTTTTCTGACAACCTTTGTGACGGCAGTGACAAGACCGGAAAAAGATTCCTTTAAGATGTTGCAGTAATGTAACCACGCTACCAAGATAAATGCAATCCTGCAAAGCTTGTTGAATTTTGCCGGTTTTTGCAATGGGATCAGCCCTCCTGACAAAGGCAGGATAATTGTGTTGTTTACCGCTACTAAGACATTTCTCGTAGATGTTAATATGTAAAGCACTGATATACTCATAAATTTTTTATTGTTTCTTCTTTCACATTATTTGTATAGAGGAGTTTTGTATAATTCTAAATTATTGTCAAGAAAATGCGATATGCCTCGAAAAAACTACTTCCATATTCTGAATCAATAAAGCTGATTTAGTAAAGCGGACATCAAAATTTAAATTTAATTTTTTTTTTGTACAGGTTTACCAGCTACTGGATAATACAAGAGTTCTGAGCCAAGTGAACCTGGCATAGTCTATTTTGCCCATGATGGACGTGGCTCATATTCTGGGCACAATAAAACTTCGCTAGACAGTTTTAGAAGTGATATTATCATGGTCCAATACAATGATAATTCACAGTTATATATATATTTTGTTTCACTGAAGTGAAGGGACAATGTTATTAGTGCAAAACTTCTTGTTTTAACTGAGGTGTAAACACCTGAGCGATAGCTGTGAATATAGAACAAAAGGAGGAAAATATCAAAATAGAAGCCTAGAAAAAGTAAGGAATTCGACTCCTGGATATGATTACATATTAAAGACGAAGTAATATATTTAACAAGAAGGAAGACGTCGTCCAGGTTATGGGGATGAGACGAAGTGTTTAAATGTTGATTATTACACAAGGAAGGAAAGTAGCCAGGAATGTTACCTTCAGAAGTGTGCAGGTCGCGGCTCTGAGGAGACTTACTATAATAACGGTAACAACTGGGATAAAAGACAGAGAAAGGTTCATTGTGGTGCATGTAAATTGGATCACATTCACAGAAAACAGAATGAGGGAAGTATGGAAATAAAGTAAAGAACAAACTTTTCAGGAAATCAAAGGAAAAACTAAAGGAAAGTGAGTTACAACATTCAGAGGCTTGGATAACATAATATAATTATTAAAGGAGCGTTAACGGAGAAATAAAACCAAGTAATAAACGGGAGGGAAACTTAAGAGTGGAAATATACGAGGACTTAGAGGAAAAAAACATGTGTAAGACACATGATAATGAATGAAACTTTACGAGAAAAATGTAAAAGAGCCAAGTTATTCTCAGAAATGGTGAGCGCCTACCCGGAGGTCCGACAAGTGTTAGAAGCAGCAGCGACCCAGGCAGCGAGGTGAGAGGCAGCAGTACGATATACCAGGCAGGAACTAGAGAAAAACACCACCACAGTAATAATAACAAACAGCAAACTTACACAAATAGCAACTGAGAGAAAAAATGTAGTGATAGAAGCTGTGTACAAGCAATTATAAAGTAGAAAGAGAGGACGCAGAGAGAGAGAGAGAGAGAGAGAGAGAGAGAGAGAGAGAGAGAGAGAGAGAGAGAGAGAGAGAGAGAGGAGAGAGAGAGAGAGAGAGAGAGGAGAGGGGAAGAGAGAGAGAGAGAGAGAGAGAGAGGGGAGAGAGAGAGAAACAGACAGACAGACAGAGTTATAAATGCCGAGGACAAGAAAAAAATACTTAAGGTTATATTAATAAGTGAACACATGAAAGAAGATATACAGACTTGAAATTTGTATACACCTTACAGAGGATAAAACCTCTGAAGACACATCGAGGATGTATGGAGAAAGAGAAAGAGAGAGAGAGAGAAACATATAATAGAAGAAGTGATAAGTGAGTGGCCAGGTGAGATAATGGGACCACAGGAGGAGAGAAGACAGTGATATAAATGTCAGTGAATCAAACCTGATCACATTTCATCCTCCTGCTAATTGAGAGGACTGGTGTTCAGCTTAAGGTTTTATACGGAGAGGAGAGAGATGTGAGGCACATTCAGATTTTACTTTTCCCCCTCACCTTCCTTCATGCATGAAGATCCATCCTCACCAGTAGTTATCTCACTACTCAGGCAACCAGTACATCACCTCACTACTCAGGCAACCAGACAGTCACCTCACTACTCAGGCAACCAGTCAGTCACCTCTCTACTCAGGCAACCACTCAGTCACCTCACTACTCAGACAACCAGTTAGTCACCTCACTACTCAGGCAACCAGTCAGTCACCTCACTACTCAGGTAACCAGTCAGTCACCTCACTACTCAGGTAACCAGTTAGTCACCTCACTACTCAGGCAACCAGTCAGTCACCTCACTACTCAGGTAACCAGTCACCTCACTACTCAGGAAACTAGCCAGTCACCTCACTACTCAGGAAACCAGTCAGTCACCTCACTACTCAGAGAACCAGTCAGTCACCTCACTTCTCTGGAAACCAGTCCATCACCTCACTACTCAGGCAACCAGTCAGTCACCTCACTACTCAGGCAACCAGTCAGTCACCTCACTACTCAGGCAACCAGTCAGTCACCTCACTACTCAGGCAACCAGTCACCTCACTACTTAGGCAACCAGTCCAACACCTCATTACTCAGGCAACCAGTCAGTCACCTCATTACTCAGGCAACCAGTCCAGCACCTCACTACTCAGGCAACCAGTCAGTCATCTCACTACTCAGACAACCAGTGCATCACCTCACTACTCAGGCAACCAGTCCGCCACCTCACTTGTCAGGCAACCAGTCCAGCACCTCACTACTCAGGCAACCAGTTCATCACCTCACTACTCAGGCAACCAGTCCAGCACCTCACTACTCAGGCAACCAGTCCGTCATCTCACTAATCAGGCAACAAGTCCGTCACCTCACTACTCAGACAACCAATCCGTCACCTCACTACTCAGACAACCAGTCCGTCACCTCACTACTCAGACAACCAGTCCGTCACCTCACTACTCAGGCAACCAGTCCGTCACCTGACTACTCAGACAACCAGTCCATCACCTCACTACTCAGGCAACCAGTCCGTCACCTCACTACTCAGGCAACCAGTCCGCCACCTCACTACTCAGGCAACCAGTCCAGCACCTCACTACTCAGGCAACCAGTCCGTCATCTCACTAATCAGGCAACAAGTCCGTCACCTCACTACTCAGGCAACCAGTCCGGCACCTCACTACTCAGGCAACCTGTCCGTCATCTCACTAATCAGGCAACCAGTCCGTCACCTGACTACTCAGACAACCAGTCCGTCACCTGACTACTCAGACAACCAGTCCATCACCTCACTACTCAGACAACCAGTCCATCACCTCACTACTCAGGCAACCAGTCCATCACCTCACTACTCAGGCAACCAGTCCGTCACCTCACTACTCAGACAACCAGTCCATCACCTCACTACTCAGACAACCAGTCCGTCACCTCACTACTCAGACAACCAGTCCGTCACCTCACTACTCAGGCAACCAGTCCGTCACCTCACTACTCAGGCAACCAGTCCGTCACCTCACTACTCAGGCAACCAGTCCGTCACCTCACTACTCAGGCAACCAGTCCGTCACCTCACTACTCAGGCAACCAGTCCGTCACCTCACTACTCAGGCAGGAACCCAGACAATTACCAAATATTCAAACATACCATTGAAGGAATGTAATAATATAATAATAATGGAGAGGAACAGTAACGCTGAATTACATGAAAGAAGGAAGCAAGAAATAAGCTTATTATTAAAATCTATAAAAAATAATTATAGAAAGAATAAGATACAAAATAAAATTAGTTTTTAAATATTGTGAATCAGTAAATATGTGAGGAAAAAACTGAATTAATTTCGAAATTACAGCGATAAAGGAAAATTATTTAATGAGATATAATGAAACAAGTTAGATTACAGGCCAATTTCTTTATTAGATATTAGAGAAATTAAAACTGTGGGAAGAGATAATATATTAGAGAGAATCGTGAGGGACTGAACAAGACTTATTAACAAGTGTGAGTAATAAATTATTGATAAAGACTCCAGAGGAAGTTAAATAAGATCATCAGTCTTGTGAACACGTACTGAATGTTCTTGTGAACACGTACTGAATGTTCTTGTGAACACGTACTGAATGTTCTTGTGAACACGTACTGAATGTTCTTGTGAACACGTATTGAATGTTCTTGTGAACACGTACTGAATGTTCTTGTGAACACGTACTGAATGTTCTTGTGAACACGTACTGAATGTTCTTGTGAACACGTACCGAATGTCCTTGTGAATACGTACTGGATGTTCTTGTGAACACGTACTGAATGTTCTTGTGAACACGTACTGAATGTTCTTGTGAACACGTACTGAATGTTCTTGTGAACACGTACCGAATGTTCTTGTGAACACGTACTGAATGTTCTTGTGAACAGGTACTGAATGTTCTTGTGAACACGTACTGAATGTTCTTGTGAACACTTACTGAATGTTCTTGTGAACACGTACTGAATGTTCTTGTGAATACGTACTGGATGTTCTTGTGAACACGTACTGAATGTTCTTGTGAACACGTACTGAATGTTCTTGTGAACACGTACTGAATGTTCTTGTGAACACGTACTGAATGTTCTTGTGAACACGTACTGAATGTTCTTGTGAACACATGCTGAATGTTCTTGTGAATACGTACTGGATGTTCTTGTGAACACGTACTGAATGTTCTTGTGAACAGGTACTGAATGTTCTTGTGAACAGGTACTGAATGTTCTTGTGAGCATGTACTGAATGTTCTTGTGAACAGGTACTGAATGTTCTTGTGAACAGGTACTGAATGTTCTTGTGAACACGTACTGAATGTTCTTGTGAACACGTACTGAATGTTCTTGTGAACACGTACTGAATGTTCTTGTGAACACGTACTGAGTGTTGTTGTGAACACGTACTGAATGTTGTTGTGAACACGTACTGAATGTTCTTGTGAACAGGTACTGAATGTTCTTGTGAACAGTTACTGAATTTTCTTGTGAACAGGTACTGAATGTTCTTGTGAACGGGTACTGAATGTTCTTGTGAACAGGTACTGAATGTTCTTGTGAACAGGTACTGAATGTTCTTGTGAACACGTACTGAATGTTCTTGTGAACACGTACTGAATGTTTTTGTGAACAGGTACTGAATGTTCTTTTGAACACGTACTGAATGTTCTTGTGAACACGTATTGAATGTTGTTGTGAGCACATATTGAATGTTCTTGTGAACATGTGCTGAATGTTCTTGTGAACACGTACTGAATGTTCTTGTGAACAGGTACTGAATGTTCTTGTGAACAGGTACTGAATGTTCTTGTGAACACGTACTGAATGTTCTTGTGAACACGTACTGAGTGTTGTTGTGAACACGTACTGAATGTTGTTGTGAACACGTACTGAATGTTCTTGTGAACACGTACTGAATGTTCTTGTGAACACGTACTGAATGTTCTTGTGAACAGGTACTGAATGTTCTTGTGAACAGGTACTGAATGTTCTTGTGAACAGTTACTGAATTTTCTTGTGAACAGGTACTGAATGTTCTTGTGAACGGGTACTGAATGTTCTTGTGAACAGGTACTGAATGTTCTTGTGAACAGGTACTGAATGTTCTTGTGAACACGTACTGAATGTTCTTGTGAACACGTACTGAATGTTTTTGTGAACAGGTACTGAATGTTCTTTTGAACACGTACTGAATGTTCTTGTGAACACGTATTGAATGTTGTTGTGAGCACATATTGAATGTTCTTGTGAACATGTGCTGAATGTTCTTGTGAACACGTACTGAATGTTCTTGTGAACAGGTACTGAATGTTCTTGTGAACAGGTACTGAATGTTCTTGTGAACAGGTACTGAATGTTCTTGTGAACAGGTACTGAATGTTGTTGTGAACACATATTGAATGTTCTTGTGAACATGTGCTGAATTTTCTTGTGAACACGTACTGAATGTTCTTGTGAACACGTACTGAATGTTCTTGTGAACACGTACTGAATGTTCTTGTGAACATGTGCTGAATGTTCTTGTAAACATGTGCTGAATGTTCTTGTGAACACGTACTGAATGTTCTTGTGAACTCGTACTGAGTGTTCTTGTGAACACGTACTGAATGTTCTTGTGAACACATATTGAATGTTCTTGTGAACATGTGCTGAATGTTCTTGTAAACATGTGCGGAATGTTCTTGTGAACACTTACTGAATGTTCTTGTGAACACGTACTGAATGTTCTTGTGAACACGTACTGAATGTTCTTGTGAATACGTAGTGGATGTTCTTGTGAACACGTACTGAATGTTCTTGTGAGCACGTACTGAATGTTCTTGTGAACACGTACTGAATGTTCTTGTGAACACGTACTGAATGTTCTTGTGAACACGTACTGAATGTTCTTGTGAATACGTACTGGATGTTCTTGTGAACACGTACTGAATGTTCTTGTGAACACGTACTGAATGTTCTTGTGAACACGTACTGAATGTTCTTGTGAACAGGTACTGAATGATGAGTTTTTTTTTTTTGGACAGAACACTGAGATGATCTTAAGAAGGCAACAATAGTGTACGTCTGAGCAGAGATGAGAGCTTAAAGTGAGTCACGTTACCTGTATGGTGGATCACAGTCCAGTTTGTTGGATGACCCTGATGATCCACCTTGATGAATACCAGTGCCACCCGCCTCACCCACAGAGCCGGTGCTGCCGTGGGGTGCCAGCCCCGTCAGCGCCACTGCCTGGTCGTCAGAGCCATGACGCTTGAGGGGTTGAGGTGTCTGCGACAGTGAGATATTGTTGGCAGCTGCTGAAGCAACAGTAGATACCTTCTTCTTGCCAGGACCACCAAAACTGAAGAACCTGAAGAGAGTGACGGGTGTCAGACGTGAGTGACGGGTGTCAGACGTGAGTGACGGATGTCAGACGTGAGTGACGGGTGTCAGACGTGAGTGACAGGTGTTAAAAGTGAGTAACGGGTATCAGACGTGAGTGAAGGGTGTCAGACGTGAGTGACGGATGTCAGACATGAGTGAAAGGTGTCAGACGTGAGTGACGAGTGTCAGAGGATGAGTGATGGGTGTCAGACGGTGAGTGGCGAGTCTTAGAGGATGAGTTACGAGTATCAGAGGAGGAGTTACGAGTGTCAGAGGATAAGTGACGAGTGTAAGAGGATGAGTAACAAATACTTACCTATATGTGGTTGCAGGGGTCGAGTCTCAGCTCCTGGCCCCGCCTCTTCCCTGGTCGCTACTAGGTCCACTCTTTCCTGGCTTAGACAGCCTTTTCATATCTCTACTTAATTAAAGCTTAGCATGACTAGCGCCTCACCCACTTCACTCTCCAGGTCGTTCAGCTTCCTGACAACTATGTGGCTGAAGAAATACTTCATAACATCCCTATGACTAATCTGGGTTTTCAGTTACCAGCTGTGCCCTTGTATTACTGTTTACCATCTCTCAAACACTCGGTCCCTGTTTACTCTGTCAATTTCTTTCAGTATTTTGTACGTTGTTATTATATACCCTAATCCTCCTGTCCTCCAGTGTCATCAGGTTGAGTTCCATCAAATTATCTTGATAGGACATATCCCTTATCTCAGGAACTACTCTTGTTACAGACGAGTGCCAGAGAATGAGTGACAGGTGTCAGATGATGAGTGACAGGTGTCAGACGATGAGTGACAGGTGTCATACCATGAGTGACAGGTGTCAAGCGTGAGTGACAGGTGTCAGACGTGTGTGACAGCTGTTAGACGTGAGCGACAGGTGTCAGACGTGAGTGACAGGTATCAGACCATGAGTGACAAGTGTCAAACGTGGTGTCAAACGACTGGTGTCAGACGCGTGTGACAGGTGTTAGACGTGAGTGAAAGGTGTCAGACGTGTGTGACAAGTGTTAGACGTGAGCGACAGGTGTCAGACGATGAGTGACAGGTATCAGACAATAAGTGACAGGTGTCAGACGTCAGTGAAAAGAATAAGATTTTAGTGACAGGGGTGTCAGACGTGAGTGATAGGTGCCAGACGTGAGCGACAGGTGTTAGACGTGAGTGACAAGAATCAGATGTTAGTGACAGGGGTGTCAGACGTGAGTGATAGGTGCCAGACGTGAGTGACAAGAATCAGATGTTAGTGACAGGGGTGTCAGACATGAGTGATAGGTGCCAGACGTGAGTGACAGGTGTCAGATGTGAACAAGAGAGAAAGATAAGAAATAGATTAGCTGGAGTCTCACAGATACAGAAAGAAAATAAATTGAAAAAAAGATAAAGAAAACTTATTACAAGAATATAAAGAAATCCTCGGCTGTGAGAAAAGCGAATTGAGAAATAAAAATGTGACATAATTTAAAATATTTGTCTTTATGTCAAAAAAATGTCATGGATATATTAAATTATTTTAATTATCTTAAAAAAATTCTTATGGTTACTTTAAACATTTAAGTGAGACTGACACATTTCTCATTATCATGCATTATGTATACCTTATTAATTATTTCTCAGCGTCCAGCTGAATTACACTTCAAAACAATTTTATTTATAATTAGACATACATATTAAACTTTTTTTTATTATATTTGCTCTGATTAAAAACAGGAGAATATGTTGTTGCATAAGTACTGGAACCTATGTTTAGTGAGTTCAGGAAGACTTATAACTACTGGAACCTATGTTTAGTGAGTCCAGGAAGACTTATAGCTACTGGAATCTATGTTTAGTGAGTCCAGGAAGACTTATAACTACTGGAACCTATGTTTAGTGAGTCCAGGAAGACTTATAGCTACTGGAATCTATGTTTAGTGAGTCCAGGAAGACTTATAGCTACTGGAATCTATGTTTAGTGAGTCCAGGAAGACTTATAACTACTGGAACCTATGTTTAGTGAGTCCAGGAAGACTTATAACTACTGGAACCTATGTTTAGTGAGTCCAGGAAGGCTTATAATTCCTGGAACCTATGTTTAGCGAGTCCATAAAGACTTACAACTACTGGAACCTATGTTTAGTGAGGCCAGGAAGACTTATAATTCCTGGAACCTATGTTTAGTGAGGCCAGGAAGACATAACTACTGGAACCTCTGTTTAGTGAGTCCAGGAAAACTTACAACTACTGGAACCTATGTTTAGTGAGGCCAGGAAGACTTACAACTACTGGAATATATGTTTAGTGAGGCCAGGAAGACTTATAATTCCTGGAACCTATGTTTAGTGAGGCCAGGAAGACTTGTAACTACTGGAACCTATGTTTAGTGAGGCCAGAAAGACTTACAACTACTGGAACCTATGTTTAGTGAGACCAGAAAAACTTATAATTCCTGGAACTTATGTTTAGTGAGGCCAGGAAGACTTATAACTACGGGAACCTATGTTTAGTGATTCCAGGAAGACTTATAACTACTGCAACCTATGTTTAGTGAGGCCAGGAAGACTTATAACTACTGGAACCTATGTTTAGTGAGTCCAGGAAGACTTATAATTCCTGGAACCTATGTTTAGTGAGGCCAGGAAGACTTATAATTCCTGGAACCTATGTTTAGTGAGGCCAGGAACACTTATAACTACTGGAACCTACGTTTAGTGAGGCTAGGAAGACTTATAACTACTGGAACCTATGCTTAGTGAGTCCAGGAAGACTTATAATTCCTGGAACCTATGTTTAGTGAGGCCAGGAAGACTTATAATTCCTGGAACCTATGTTTAGTGAGGCCAGGAAGACTTATAACTACTGAAACCTATGTTTAGTGAGTCCAGGAAGACTTATAACTACAGGAACCTATGTTTACTCAGTCCAGGAAGACTTATAACTACTGGAACCTATATTTAGTGATTCCAGGAAGACTTATAACTACTGGAACCTATGCTTACTCAGTCCAGGAAGACTTATAACTACTGGAACCTATGTTTAATGAGTCCAGGAAGACTTATATTATAACTACTGGAACCTAAGTTCAGTGACTGGAGCACTGAGGCAATAATACCCATGTGAGATTCAAAGTTACAAAAATAACTAGAGTTTAATTATCCTTTAGCACTACTTTTTAAATTAGTAGGGAAGGGGAGGGGAAAGAGGAAAGGAAAAACGCTGAAAAAAATAGGGTACTGCGTGTTAAGACGTTCACTAAGATGATTTACCATACCTCACGACACTAGCAACTTACTGGGGAAATGAGAGGTTATAACTACTGTTGAGATTTAAAACAAGATCATTTAACACAGCTTAATTAGCATGGCTACTGCTGTCTTATTATGTTATATTACCCCCTACATTATTATGCTATATTACCCCTACATTATTATGCTATATTACCCCCTACATTATTATGCTATATTACCCCTATATTATTATGCTATATTACCCCTACATTATTATGCTATATTACCCCCTATATTATTATGCTATATTACCCCTACATTATTATGCTATATTACCCCCTACATTATTATGCTATATTACCCCTACATTATTATGCTATATTACCCCTACATTATTATGCTATATTACCCCTACATTATTATGCTATATTACCCCTACATTATTATGCTATATTACCCCTACATTATTATGCTATATTACCCCCTACATTATTATGCTATATTACCCCCTACATTATTATGCGATATTACCCTACATTATTATGCTATATTACCCCTACATTATTATGCTATATTACCCCTACATTATTATGCTATATTACCCCTACATTATTATGCTATATTACCCCTACATTATTATGCTATATTACCCCTACATTATTATGCTATATTACCCCTACATTATTATGCTATATTACCCCTACATTATTATGCTATATTACCCCCTACATTATTATGCTATATTACCCCCTACATTATTATGCTATATTACCCCTACATTATTATGCTATATTACCCCTACATTATTATGTATATTACCCCTACATTATTATGCTATATTACCCCTACATTATTATGCTATATTACCCCTACATTATTATGCTATATTACCCTACATTATTATGCTATATTACCCCTACATTATTATGCTATATTACCCCCTATATTATTATGCTATATTACCCCTACATTATTATGCTATATTACCCCCTACATTATTATGCTATATTACCCTACATTATTATGCTATATTACCCCTACATTATTATGCTATATTACCCCTACATTATTATGCTATATTACCCCCTACATTATTATGCTATATTACCCCTACATTATTATGCTATATTACCCCTACATTATTATGCTATATTACCCCCTACGTTATTATGCGATATTACCCTACATTATTATGCTATATTACCCCTACATTATTATGCTATATTACCCCTACATTATTATGCTATATTACCCCTACATTATTATGCTATATTACCCCTACATTATTATGCTATATTACCCCCTACATTATTATGCTATATTACCCCTACATTATTATGCTATATTACCCCTACATTATTATGCTATATTACCCTACATTATTATGCTATATTACCCCTACATTATTATGCTATATTACCCCTACATTATTATGCTATATTACCCCTACATTATTATACTATATTACCCCTACATTATTATGCTATATTACCCTACATTATTATGCTATATTACCCCCTACATTATTATGCTATATTACCCCTACATTATTATGCTATATTACCCCTACATTATTATGCTATATTACCCCTACATTATTATGCTATATTACCCCTACATTATTATGCTATATTACCACCTACATTATTATGCTATATTACCCCTACATTATTATGCTATATTACCCCTACATTATTATGCTATATTACCCTACATTATTATGCTATATTACCCCTACATTATTATGCTATATTACCCCTACATTATTA